TGACACTGAAGTGCGAAGAGCGGGGAAGCGGGCTTGGCGCAGCCGGACGTGCATCCCTCCGAGCTGCCACTCCGGGGAAGCCTGTCGTGCACTTCACCTGGAAGGCGGTCTACTCGAGGTGGGGTGGGGGTTCGAGGAGAAGACTTTCCACGCAGAGGTGCCTTTCGGGTGCTGTGGGGCAGGTAGGAGCTGTCCTTTCAGCACCCGTTGTTCAGTCGCCTCCCCAGATGCTAACGAAGCCCCCCAACCCCCACGCCTGTCGGGTGGCTCCCTTAGGTTCCTGCATCTCTAGACCTCAGGTCCCCGCCACAGAATGACGGAGCGCGGCCGCCACGAAGGCCTACTAGCACTCCCCTCCCCCTCCGCGCTGTCGTCCCCGACACTTCTGGCCCAGCTGCCCCCACCGACGCGGCCACCGAGCCTGGGCGCTGCAGACACAGCTGGCGAAATCCCTCCTTCCACACTGTCAAACTGGCTTCCTTTCACTGGCGCGAGGGAAAGCAGGGTGGAGGAGAGCGCCCGGAGATGAGGAAACAAGTAGAGGAACAGGTGTTGTGGTGGCAGAAGGGCTCCTCGAGTCCCCCCTAGCCCAACGCCAGGGGTCCGCAGCTAGCCAGGCGCACCAGAGGGAGGGCAGGCAATCGCAGCAGTGAAACGAGGTGTTCTTCCGTTGCAGTTAGCAAACAAGTCTTACATCTAAAAATTTTAAAATTCTATTGGAGACTCAGGAGAACACAAGAACAGGATAAATATCCCCACATGGGAGAGCCTGGCTCACAGGTGGGAGGATACTTAAATGGGTCCCTCCCGGTTCCTGAGGCAAGGCGTGTACAGTCATACTGACAGAAAGCAACCAGTGAATGCGAACCGTTTCTTGAAGGCCCTGCTCTTGGGTAGAAGTGGCTGGCTCCGGGCCTCTCCTCTCCACCCCTACAGGGCCTCCTAGGCAGCTCCTCCCACTCCACACTGTGCGCCTTTCCCAGAATTCAAGACCTGGGGCCAAAGAGAGGTACCAGCCCCATTAATCACACTTACGGTACCCCAATCACATTAGGGAGAGTCAGAGTTGAGACAGGACTCCTGGCCTCGTTCAGGGCAGACTCTGTTTGCCGCCTCCAGCCCTCCTCCCTCAATTGTAGGGCTCTGCATTATAGCCGCATAATTCACGCGTCCCTAATTGAGGCTGTCAGCAGCCCCACTGTAAAGTGGGAAATGTACAGCACCTGCTCTCTGGGAAGCCCGTGCCAGAGATTGGTGGTGGGGAGTGCCAGGTGTGTGGGGGCTTGCCAAAGGATGCACTGATTGGCTCCTTGATCGCAGCGCCTGGCATCTATGCTGGATTTCTGGGAGCAGGGATGTGGCCAAATGGTCTCCAGTGCCAGGTATCCGGGCTTGGAAAAGGCAGGAGTGGACTGGGGTACAGGAAAGTTCGGGATCTGAAGACCCCACTTCCCCCCTAGCAGGAGGTGCTGGGGAAACAGCCTGCAGAGGTGAAATGGGGAGACGGAAGGGGTTGCACTGGGTTGGAGCTGCTGGCTGGTGCTTGCTGCTCTGGGGCACCTGAAGCAGAGTTGTGGCAGGCGACAGCTCTTCAAAGGCACTAATCTGCTCAGCAGCTTTGCAGGGGGAGGTAAGGGGAAGGACACAGCCTTGACTCTGCCCACTTCTTACTGTTGGGCAGCCGTGGCCCTGTCAGCAGAGAGGGCCCGGAGGAAGTTTTGTCACGTTGAGAATAAATCATCTTGGGGCCTACTTAGGGAGCCACATCAAAAAGCAGGAGAAACCTTGAGGACTGGAAGTGGAAATCAGAGTTTGAGATGGTGGGAGAAGTGCTTGGTTCTTAGCAGTCCTGGTGTTACAGGGTAGGAGGCTTGTGGTGAATCAGGTTCACCAGGGCCTACAGACCCTTCTGTTACCCTGGAGCCATGGAGGGGGCCGGTCTCACTGGGGAGTGGAGCCTGGCCCCATGCCCTGCAAGAGGAGGAGAAAAGCTTGTGTGGGCTGAGTCGACAATAGGTAATTGGATTGTAATCACCCGCCTGGCTTCGGCGCGCCATTGGGGGCGCTGAGCCTTTAGTGAGCAATCAGTACTGCGTGGTGGGAGGGGGTCGAGATTCAATAGCAAATCCCAGGTGGAGAGCCAAGGGGAGGAGCAGCAGATGGGCACATTTTCTTCCTCTCTTCCCGCCCCTTTCTTTGCCCAAATAACGCTGGCTGCGCCTGTGAGCTCTGCCAGCACACCCAAGGTGGAGCCATGTCTTTTGTGAAAGTCAGGTGGAAGGCTAAGACGGGTGGGCGAGGGGTCAGGTCATGGGCAGCTCTCTTCCCGGCAACCCTGTGTTGAAGGATGTGCTGGTGGAAAAAGTGCATCCAGGCGCACAGGCATTGGTGGCAAAGGTGGAGGGGCGGGACCTACTCTCCAAACTGACTGGTGACCAGAGCTGAGTTTAGTGCACTTGTGGGAGACCTTCACCTCGACTCTCCCCAAGGCTCAGCTGTCCAATGCAGCCCAAAGGTATCTGTGGCCAGCAGACCTAGCTTGGGGGCTCCCCTGCCAAGCATAGGGAACACAATTCATCAAGAGGGAGGTGCCTTTCAAAAGCCAAGAAAAGAAAGGGGAGTGGGGCCCTGGAGGCAGAGGGCAGGGCAAAGTGGCAGGTGGCCAGCCTCATTCTGGCTGATGCAGTGCCCAGATGGGCTGAGTCGACAATAGGTAATTGGATTGTAATCACCCGCCTGGCTTCGGCGCGCCATTGGGGGCGCTGAGCCTTTAGTGAGCAATCAGTACTGCGTGGTGGGAGGGGGTCGAGATTCAATAGCAAATCCCAGGTGGAGAGCCAAGGGGAGGAGCAGCAGATGGGCACATTTTCTTCCTCTCTTCCCGCCCCTTTCTTTGCCCAAATAACGCTGGCTGCGCCTGTGAGCTCTGCCAGCACACCCAAGGTGGAGCCATGTCTTTTGTGAAAGTCAGGTGGAAGGCTAAGACGGGTGGGCGAGGGGTCAGGTCATGGGCAGCTCTCTTCCCGGCAACCCTGTGTTGAAGGATGTGCTGGTGGAAAAAGTGCATCCAGGCGCACAGGCATTGGTGGCAAAGGTGGAGGGGCGGGACCTACTCTCCAAACTGACTGGTGACCAGAGCTGAGTTTAGTGCACTTGTGGGAGACCTTCACCTCGACTCTCCCCAAGGCTCAGCTGTCCAATGCAGCCCAAAGGTATCTGTGGCCAGCAGACCTAGCTTGGGGGCTCCCCTGCCAAGCATAGGGAACACAATTCATCAAGAGGGAGGTGCCTTTCAAAAGCCAAGAAAAGAAAGGGGAGTGGGGCCCTGGAGGCAGAGGGCAGGGCAAAGTGGCAGGTGGCCAGCCTCATTCAGGCTGATGCAGTGCCCAGATGTGCCAGCCAGTCAGCCCTCTTGAGTTCCAAGGCCTGCAGGAAGCCTTGGACTCGCTCTTCCCGTCTGGCGGAGAGTTTGTGCAAGCGTGTCCGTCGGAGCTGGGCGTCCCCACTGGCCTGGAGCCCCTCTCGCAGCAGCTGCTCTGTCACTGCGGCCTGGTCCCTCTCCAGCTGCTGCCTCTTCCGCTCCTCTGCATACATGTCTCGGGCTTTCTGCTAGAGAAAAGTGGGAGTGGGAAGGGGAGAAGTTTTATGGGTGTAGGTGGAACTGGGCTGGGGCTTGTGGGTGGGGCACAGAGAGGCCAAGGGAGGTGGAACCGTGGAGTCCCTGCTAGGTCTGGGGAGGTGTGGGAGCAGCTGCATGGCAGGCAGTGCCCACACCCAACAGGCAAAGCAGAGGCAGCTCTGGGTCCATCTTGGTTTGGGTTAGTTTGTGTGGAAGTGTCTGCATTCTTACATTCTTCTCAGGTTTGCACTGGAAGGGACCCAGGCAAATATGGGTCTGACTTCTGATTCCCCCACCAACTAGCTTTGTGGCTTTGGACAAATCCTCTTCTAACCTCATTTCTTCATCTGTAAAGTGGGGGTTGTGCCTACCTTGAAGGGTGGTTTTAAGGATTAGGGATAATATATGCAAAATCCTCTCTAGCATATTAGCAGGCTCTCACACAGAAACAGCAATTTTACAAGTTATTATTGTCTGTTTTCTGCTGTAAGGAAGGTTCTATTCCTGTCTGGGGCACTATCCCTGGGGTTGCTTTCTTTGGTCTCCCAGGTTACTTTGAGGGCTGTTTCCAGTTCCCTAAGCTATTTCTCAGGAAGACCAGCTTGACCTTCCAGCAAATGACCCTCCTATGAACATTCTGAGAAGCAGGTTCAACTTTCTTAAGCCACGTAGTGCATTCTGCCTAGAACAGGCGTTAGAGGCCAGAGTCCACTTTTTCTGTTAGCAAATTAGCCCCAAAGGCTCAACAGATCCACAGGGCTCCTGGAACCAGCTCTGACACTGCACGGTGACCACATTCTCTGGTGGCACCTCTTGGTCCTTGTTTGTGCCTCCAGACAAACCAGAAACTCCCCGAGGGCTGAGACTGCTTCCCCCTCTCTGGCCTTAGGGTGCCCTGTGAAATAATCACCCGACTGCATGATCCCAGGAAGACAGGGAGGATGCCCCAGTGCGAGAGAGGAAGAGCGCTCCCCAGCAGAAGCAAGGCCCTCTGTACCTCACTGATGCTCTCTGTTCCCGCAGGCTGACAGCCTACACGGCCTCTTCCCTGTGTGAGGGGTCTGTGTGCCTGGAGGCTGCCCGGGGATATCCTGCAGGATGCAGTGCACCCCACTGGCCTCCTGCGGGGCACCCCGTGCACATGTCTGTGTCCTATTCAGCCTGTAAGCACCTTAGCTGGCCCGTCCGCAGCCTTGAAAGACTATCTTACATGAGCACAAGCCTGTTGTCTCACTTGACCCCTCACAATGGAGCTGTGAGGAAGGTACTTTTTGGAGACAAACATGGAGGTTCAGTAGCGAAGTGATTTGCTAAGGCCTCTCAGCAACAAAGGCTAACTGCATGGATGAAGATGACAGATGATGATTCTGGAACACCCCCCACCCTCCCCCCAGGTTCGTGAGTGACCCCGGCATTCAAGGACACTTTTCTGCTGTAATGAGTTGCATGGGGGCTAGGAGGCTGGCCTTGAGTGGCTGCTGCTAAGGTTCTGTCTCGCGGGAAGGGCGTCTCCCTGCCTTGGTCGGGAGAAACCCTGGGTCCTACACACAGAACTCTGCCGGGCGATGCAGCTGGCCAGGACACACATGCATACAGGCTCCTGAATACAAAGCAGGATGTGGAGGGCTACATGGAGGGAGGAGAATGTTCCAGCAGGGGGCCTATCAGAAAGATGCATGAAATCCTAGTCTGCTTAGGCCAGAGTGAGTTCACCTGGATCGCTAGGGTTTGAGAAATACCTGCCCAAAGGAACCCCCTCCCCGCCTTTTTTCCCCCCAGAAGACACATGTGCTCATCAGAGACAGAGACAGTGAGAAAGCGCCCCCATGGAGGATAGTCACAGTGCAATCTTTTCAACTCCATTTCTCCCTCCTGTTGGAATTCTGGCCACACACGTGTCCAGTGTGTTTTTCAAGCCACCGAGTCGGGGACTCAAACTGCACGGTCAGCCATGTGGGGTCCAACTCTTAACTGCCAGGGCATGGGACGGCTCTCCCTTACCTCTTTACAGTTGTTTCTTTCTTTTCTTTAACAATTATTTTATTTAACTTTGCTTATTTATTTTAATTTGATCAGAGAGGAACAGAGCAAGAGAGAGATAAAGTGAGAAAGCAAGCTGCCAGGTCTGGGGCTCAAACCACAGTTGGCCATGTGGGAGTCCAGTGCCCTTAACCACAATACCACCTGCCGGGCCCTACAGTTATTTCTTAATCTGCAAAATGAAGATCATGGTATCCACTTCGCGCGTAACAGACATTGAATGCCTACCTAGTATACTTAGTACCTGGTTTTTAATCATGAACTACTCTTCACTACTGCTTGTGGCTAGGGTTAGGTGGACTAAGTTCAGACAGGACACAAAGGATGGAGGACACCCAGTCAGAGGGAGGAACAGCACAGGGAAAGCACCTGAGAAGCTGGGGCCTCTTCCAAATGGTGGCCCCCAGTGATTGCTGCAATGGAAGCTGTAGGCAAGAAATCAGTAGTTCACTGACGGGAGGGCAGAGATGGAGGAGCCCTTAAACACATCTGCTCCAGGCTCCTCACTTTACAGACAAGGATACTGAAGCCAAGAGGAAGGGACTTGGTCCCGATCACACAGTGAATGGAATTTCCTTGGTTTCTCCATGAAGTGGCTCCTCGAGGGGATGATGGGGAATGTATCTTGCATCTGTGGATAAACTACTTTTTATGGGTGGAGAGGAGAGGCTGGTGACCTGCTTCACAGCTCTGGTGTGTCTAGCCCTACGGGGACTGGGTCTACACTCCCAGACTCCGAGGCATTCTAAGCTCTCATGTACATACACTTGGTAAAGCCAAGCTAACTGAAGTTCTAAAAGTTGACATCTGCTCCCTAATGACCAGTCAAGGTAGATGAGGGCATTCTTTCCTTACAGACTTTTTGTATAGACCTTATGCAGTCTTGGTGCAAGGGCCGAAAGCTCACCTTGAGAAATGTGGCTCTGGGAACCAGCAGTTGGCATAATGGCTAGGTCGCTGGACTCCCACGTAGTCAACCGCGGTTCGCATGCCGGACCCGATGGCTTAAAACTCATGCCGGGCGCGTGTGCGTGAGTGCCCAAGATCCCGAGAGGAGAATGGAGGAGAAGGGATTGTGGCGTGGCTATCCCCCCTGGGGGGTGATTTCTCGCTTTCTGTCTCTCTGTCTCTGTCTGTCTGTCTGGCAAGCGCACACGCCCTATAGTGAAAACCTCTCTAAAAAAAAAAAAGAAAGAAAAGAAATGTGGCTCCAACATATTAACCAAACTCCCTTCTGGGATTAAACCTTTCTGCACTTTTTCTCTCCTTGGTAGAGCCAGGAACGAGATGCAATAACCCCTCAGGTCGTCCACTACCTTGCTGGGGCCTGGAGACAGGCTGTAGGTCCTGGGCTTCAAAACACGCATCAGCCAAGGACAAGTCTCCCCAAGCCAGACAGCATGCATTTCTGAGGGCTGCCAGGACAGAACGCTTTCTGCCGGAAACGTGCTGTTCTGAAGTCTAGTGGGCACACGTGTCTTTTGCCTCTGCGTCTCACCCTAGGAGACTGGGTGGACACACACTTTGACTCATTTCTGGCAATGACCCCTCACAGACCTACTGTCCCAGCAACTGGGACAGAATCAGCTCCCTGCACTGCCACTCACCCCTCGCCTGATTTCCTACCTGCCCTGCTGACAAGTCCTACTGTGTCAGAGTCAAGCTCTGCCCCTTCGCCAGCCTAAGCCTGGCCGAGCGACCAGCCACTGTCAGATACCAAGGCCGGCCTCCTAACAGCTCACTGCTGATATCTGCTGCTCGTCATAGCCACTAGCTGCCTTCATCCTGATAAACTGAGTCCACAGCCTCGCTCCGGGCCCCTGCCGTGGCTTTCTGCAGAGACAGGAACACGCCTCGAGACAGCATTCAGACTGTGATGATAGGGACCGGGGTGACGGGGCAAGGGTACAGATGTGCAGGTAAGAGACTGAAGGGTATGGGAACAAGGAGCCACGAAGGGCCCAGCTCGGCCACGATATAGGTATGTGAAAGGCAGATGTGAGAAATGGTTGGAAAGGTCTTTGCATTTGAGGCCAGACTCGTGACAGTTTTTTCTCTCTTTCAGAGAGATTTTTGCTGTAGGGCACGTGTGCTCACTGGAGAGAGAAAGTGAGAAATCACTCACCAGGGGATGGCCACGCTGCAGTCCCTTTTTCTCCATTCTCCTCTAGGGATTTTGGGCACACACACACATGTGCCTAGTGAGTTTTTTCTTTTTTTTTTTTTTTAAAAAAAGAATTATTTTATTTAACTTTATTTATTTTAATTTGACCAGAAAGGGACAGAGAGAGAGCAAGAGAGAGAGGGA